TTGTAGTACTGCTTATCGAGGTGGAACTGATCGTTGAAGTTTCGGTGGAGGTACCGCTCGAAGTTGAAGAAACGGACTTTGTAGTTGTGGTCTGGCTGCGGGACGAAGTGGTCGTACTCATGCTCATGGAGGTGGAACTGACTGTTAAAGTCGCTGAGGAAGTGCCGCTCGAAGTCGATGAAATAGAGTGGGAGGTTGTAGTCGCGGTCATTGACGTCGACGTCAGAGATCTCGACGTGGTTGTGGCTGACTGTGATGTACTTGTGCTGGTGCTGGAGGCACTGGTGGTGACAGTCGACGTTGGAGCTGTGCTGCTGCTTGTGCCCGTGATGGAAACAGATATGGACGAAGACGAGCCTGGCCCCAACGGCAGGCAGGCGTCTACGATGACACTTTAAACAAAAACGAAGCGATGCTTTAAAGGAAGTCCAGGCACTCGTCCAAGTAGAGGTGAAGCTTCCTGAAGTTGTCGTCGTCGCCGTCAGGCTCGTGGTCGAGGAGGGCTCTGTCAGAGCCGAGTCCGTGAAGAGAACGGAAGCAGCTGATGTGGCCCGGCCCATGGAGTTCTCGCAGTAGACGAGCACCTTGGCGAGTTGCTTCTCAAAGTCACAAGTTGAAGAGTCCTAGGACCCCAATGCTTTCCGCTATGGAAGAGCTGAGCTGCATAGGACCGGCCATCTGCCAGAGTCCCCGAAGGAATCGTGAGTCCCAGATCACCGGAAGCTGTCGAAGCCACGAAGACTTCGTTGGTTCCAGAAGCATCATCAGCCAGGTAGACGGCAAAGGTCTGCAAGGCCGAGCTCAGCTCTACTGCATCTTCTTGGCTCTTTTTGGCCACACCGGACCGGCTAGAGGATGGATGAAAACAAAAGATGCCTACAGCGCTCCCAGCAAGATTCGCCAGGAAGCTTCGCAACATAACATTGATGGGTCTCTTGTGGATTCAGCATGCCAGGGTGACTCAACATGATGACCCACAAAGGCATCATGCTGGGCAAAGGATTCTCGACCGGGCGCGTCGCATTTATTGAGATTGCCGTGCTACTGAGGCCTACACTAGCCCTGTCAGCCCGGGCCTCGACGAAACCGTAGTCGGTGTCCTGCCGTGCCCACGTCACGGCCCCCGCCACGTAGGTGGCGACGCTGTCCGAGTCGGTGAAAGCCACCGACTCCACCTGTAATGCGCCCAGGCTTTGCACATAATCCACCAAGCCAATAACATCGGCTTGGTTGAATGCCGCAGTCCTGTCACCGTCCTGCCGGTTCGGGATCACCGCAATGTACTGTGCGTAGCCAAAGGTGGTCTCTGTGTCGCGACTTCTTGAGAAGGTCAAGGAATTCGTCCCTAGTGGCACTACATCCACTTGGCTGCCGCTGAAGTAAATCTCGTCTACCGAAAAAGAGTACTCCTTTCTTGTTAGCAACCAGACGCGGTAGTCGAGATACGGCGACGTGTCGGCCGGGGGTGTCCACGTGGCTGTACCATTAAGCAGATAAGGCGCAGGATTCCTGGTCTTTTGTACTCTAACGCGAAGCAGTTTCTCAACAACATCAGAAACAACGGACGCAACGGCAGAAAAAGGTGTCATTGCAAAACCTAGGTGCAGGTCTGTGAACGCGAAGTCGCTGATGGTGGCTAGACAAACTAGAGGAAAACTCAACGTCCAGATTTCTCGGCGAAGCCATGGCTGCATTAGAGATCATGAAGGTGAGACAACGAATCAGCCGCACGCAACCTTTGAGGTTTTAAGAAGATGTGCCGTCTACCGTCAAGTGAAGCTGTCCTTCAAGTCTGACCTGCAAAATGGTCTCAGTCGACACATTGTTGCACTCGGACGCATGTTGCTCGCGTATCATCTCCATCATTTAGTTCAGTTCCATAAAATGACTATAGTTCCTCATCACAGCTTGAGTCAGACGCAGGAAACCATATCGGCAAAGATACCCAGATTTTTCAAACTTGGGCAAAGTTTGTTAGGGCCCCTTGCAACATGCGGACTGCACGTGGCCCTCTGAGAAAATGGGAGCCCGCATTGCTTCTCCAAGTTGAGGCCCAGCAGGAACCGAGACTGGCACCAGTTATGCTTGCACCAGCGCCACGAAGCCTGGGCTTCCAGTTCCTTTTACGATCTCTTGTGGTTATTCACATACAGGTGCCAAACTGCCGAACTTTCGAGATGCCATGACATACGGAGCACTTTGAAAATCAAGTTTCACACCTGCCTCCCCGTCAGAGCAGAGATCACTCCCAAACCCTCAGCATCCCTCCGCAAAACCCGATGCACTAGAAGCCCCGCGGCTTGTCGTCATGATACAATAGAACTCTCCGGTGGAACCTTGAGGAATAGTGCTGGCAATACTATGCCCGTAACTGGGCAATTTTGTTGCATTTGAGCCCCCAAGACATATGAAGCCTGTTTCGAACTCACTGTGGGACCCCGACCCAGGGCTGCTGGTCAAGGACCTGTCCTCCAATGTAAGTGTGTTGGAGTGTTGAGAGGATTTCTGGGTTTTTTTGCCCCCAGAGGATTTCGGGTTTGTCGCTTAGTGCAGAGAGCGTGTATGTTAGACACAAGTGCATGTATAGATTATGCCTATGTGTTCTGTCTGCACATAGCGGTGACTAGACTACACATCAACATGAACTCTGAGGGTCGTCCACGGCATGCGGAGTGCATTCATGTGAGGCGTTGTGTTCTCTGCACCTCCAAACATGCTGTATACCATATGGTGCTGAGATGGCTGCAGGACTTCAGAATGTGTTGCTGCACAGTAGAAGCGCTTGCGGAAAGCCTGCCGACGCATCTCCGGCTACCGACTGCGACACATGGCGTCCTTGTCGGTGCCCACAACTTTCATGGTGCCACCGCGCTCCTGGCAGTTTGAAGCTCCGGGGTACCGGGCAAATATCCGGCGCTTCGAGGGCAAGAAGGTCAGTAATAATGGTTTACGCTCTCACGGCGTGACACAGGCACACGACCCTCTGACAGTCGTGGCTTAGGGTCTAGAGGGTTTCGGCGACATCTTCCCGTTAGAAGTCCGAGGGGTTTTGGAGATCTATCAAGGCGCCATCGTCCAACCGAAACGGTCCTTCTCCATCCTCTCCCGGGCCTGTGCATCAGAGGGTCACAGGGCTCACAAGTCAAGGCTGCGCCCTGAGTTCAATTCATTCAAGGCGCCTCAAAATCACATGTTCACTCGCGTCCCCTTGCGCGGCGAAAATCTAACCCCCAAAACACCAGATACGGCAAGCAGAGCATGTTGGAGTCGCTGCCGGTCCCCTTACGCCCACAAGAAAGGCTCACGAAGTTCCTGTTCCCTGGCCAACCTGGCCTTCTGTTTGTCCAGGGCCGCCTCAGCCATGGCCTGTGGCAGGGTGGGAAGGTTAGGCCGTGTCCTCAAGTTGCTGGTAAAAGGGCCTTATGATTTGGAATCAGGCTTGGGGTTGTGTGCTAGTTTACTCATAAGGAGAACCCTAAGGAATAGGGCTGGAAACTGTCCCGACAATTCAGGCTTCTGCATTTGGACGTCTACCTTCGATGATTGCCGCAGCACGATCAGGCAAGCAGAGCTCAAAACATGCAAAACCTCAAACAACCCCGATTCCACAACCCCGATTTCCACACTCTAAAGTAGTGCCGAAAACCCTGAACGCCCAAACCTCTGTCCATACCCCAAAGCCCCTCCATATCCCAAATGCATAACATCTAAAATCTGGTTTATGATGCATCAAGTTAGTAAAGCGCACCTGTTGGAGCTCCTGGCGTCTCTTCTCGGCTTCCTCCTCTCGTCGCTCCTGCATCCCCGTTCAATCGACTTCTTTGCAGGACATCCTCGAGAGATCGGGCATCACCCAAACAGTTCAGGCAAAAAGCGAAGTCTCCTCAACAAAGCCGTCCGCATCCTCTGCTTTAGTCCTCCCTCCCCTCCCCTCCCTCCGCTGGGCCTGTTTGGTCTTTGGTCTACTCGGGCTGAAGTCACCTGAAACGGGCGACCCCTCTGACCCGGCTTGGGAACGAAGCGACAGAGCAGAGAGTCTTTGTAGGTTTAAGCATCAGCATGCCGATGCGCTCCAAGGTCTTTCCTGGAAATCTGAAGTCCCAACTCTTTCAGAAGCCACCAGAGACAGAGCACAAGCCCCAAAGATCCGCCCCTACTAGCCTTCGTCGCTTGCATTCGCACTCGTCCTGATGGGAGGCACCCTAACTCGACAGAGACTCAAAGCCAGGATCTGCGGAATCATCATCACCATCACAGCCACGACCGTCGTGATAATCAGTCTCGGCATCACCGTCGTGATCCCTAGCATCCAACGGAAAGAAGCAAGGCAGGAAGGAAGGTAGGCAGACCACGCCCTCAGCCAATCCCTACACGGGATCAGAGCCAGTGCCTCGTCTGGGGCGACCTCGGGTTCCAAAGCGTGGCTTGGCTTGTGGCAACTCTCCGTTAACATCGTAATCGGGATCCCCGTGCGGACGGAGGCCCTGTGGAGGCGATTTGTTGATCTTCGGTCGGGCTGCTTTTCTGGGGCACAGCCTCGGGCCCCGGAGTCCCAGTCAAAAGCCCTCAAGAGACCCCCGAAACTTTTGGGCTGCCCCGCGTCGGAGGCTCCGGTTCCGGGGTCTTCGATGGCCGCATGGTGGCAGAGCCCGTGCCTGGCAGTTGCGGAGGCTGCCGCTGCGATGATGTTATTTGGCTTCCGGTTGAAGGATTGTGGGATTCTTGTCGCCGACCTCGCCAAGTTGAGCTGATCCGCGAAGCAGGGTGTGGTGCTTTTGGCGGAGGTTGTGGGAGTGCTGCGCTTTATGCTACAGCCGAAACACATAACAGGATACATTTCCATGCTGTGGTAGGGCCTGATTGGGCGGGTAATATGATGTGTTTGTGTTTTCTGATGCAGCGTCGTATATCATGCTAAACAGATGGCATCTGATGTCATTTGATGCCATCTCCTTCACACGGACCGACTAAAGAGCCGGTGCTCTGCAAGCATCCCGGCGTGCCCCCTGCAGGCTTGAAAGCCCAAGCCATCGCAGAAGCCTTACCGCCGTCCGAGCGAAGCAGAAGAAATCCAAAGACTTCCAAGAGACCCCGAAGGCACCTTCGGCCTCCATCTGCAGCTTGTAGAGCCTCAGCAAGACGTGCTGAGCTCACGAATTACGTTCTCATTACGTTCTCACAACTCGGACAAGCCAGGCGAGGTTTCATAGGTCACGAATTAGGGTCCTGTGACCGGGGGGTGGCCCAACCCCCAACCCCCAGCAGAGGCCAAGCTTGTGAACCAGTCGAAAGCTTGACATCTGAAGTGCACACCAAGAGGCCGCATCTCTTCGGCAAAGGCTTCGTTCTGCCGATCGGGGACAGGGCACGTCTTGGGAGCTTTATGGCGGGTTGACCATATTTTTAATCCGAAGTAGTACGCCTGTAAGGGCCAATAAACTGCAGAAGAGCCGTGTCTGCCCCTCGCGGAGCTTATGGGTGCCAAGTGCTTCGGCACGCACCAGGCAGGCAAGGGCGCTCGACAGATGTGCACTCTCGAACCTCTCGTATGTCTGCAAGTCGTAGAATCGTAGCAGTGACATTACCCATCTCGTCAACCTTTCATGCTCCTCGCAGTCGCTAATCGCCGGCCGACGATTTCCCACACTCCCCAAACTTTCTCCGGGCGGATGTGATCTTCTTAGATTGGGCCACTAGCCTTTCTAGAAAGGCTTCCTGGTAAGGCTTGTCTGCACAACTGAGAAGAAGAGCCAGGGTAGCCGACCGACGTCGCGTGACAAAATTGCCGCAGGGCCTCTTCCCTCTTCTTCCGCAGCTTCTCCTCCTCCTCGCAGCCCACAAAGAGCAGTCAAAACTCAAAAACCAAGCATCTGCGACTCAGGAGCATGGAAGTCGGGCATCCACGGTGGCTTTCAGGCATTTGTGCATGAGACAAGAAGCTTTCTGAGTTCGCGAGGCTGTTGCGATTACTCGTGCTTCGGCTTGCGCGGTTGAGTGCCATAAACAGCAGTTGTGCATGATGATAAAACGATGTTGCATGCGCTTCGGGCCATACTCCTGTTGTTCCTCCGCACCTGCGCTGTTTCGTCCCGACCTCTTGAACCTGTACTTCTTTTGTCTTTGACGTACTTCTTCTTGCGCAGCCCCGGCGCTTCTGTTGTCTATCGCTGTGGTTCTGCATGGTTCTCTGTGTCGCCGGTGTCTTCGCCGTGCCGACCGCGACCGGTAACTGGGCGGACGCCTTACTCTAAACGGACGTGCGTGGGGAGTGGAAGCCAAAACCCACATCAAGTGAAGGCCGTGCGGTGGAGAGGCCGCCAAGAAGGCCACGAAGAAACACGAGCATGTGGCAAAACGACACCAGCAACTGGCCAAACAATACAAGCCAGCAGAGACCTCAACACGAAAGTTGTTCATGACAACCGAAGACCATCTTGTGGTCAAGAGCCCAAACACACAAGCGAGACATCGCAGGCTTTCATGTCTGACAAACTGCATTGAGGGGAGGGGGACTTCTTCCCTTAGATTCCTTAGCAACACGAGAAGCACGCGAAAAGAAACCTCTCTTGCAGACCCAACGGAACGATCATGAGAGGCGTCAGTGCACAAACACCAGTAGCTAGTAACCCGCGCACCTCAGACGGAAGCAGGGTGGCTCCCGTCATGGCGTCCTGATTCCGGGACATCGAAGTGACGCGTCGCGGGACACCCTGAACCCTGAAGCTGACTGGACCCTTGCGGCCGGGGCTCGGCATCATCTTCTCCACCTGGCGCCTGCATGCTCGTCCGTGCTCTGACAGAAACTTGTATAGTCAGAATATGTAAGAATCATAACACAATGTAACACGACGTACTACAGCACGACACAAGACAATTCAATGTAGTAAACCTAGTTTATTATCGTGTAAACTAGAGTCCCATAATCTAAAATAATGGGATGTAGCAGAGTATAGTCGAGCAAAAGATAAAATTGATGCAGCACAATAACGCAAAAAATAATGTAATAGAATGTACTAGTGTGGAACAAAACGGAATACAACATACTATCACATGCTATGGCAAAATAACACTACAGCATAACAGAACTTAGTAGAATACGATATTATATACACCATATAAGTTGTGTACAATGTTGTTTGAACTGCAAATATTAATAAGACTAAATGTATATAAATATATACACACATAATTTTTGGTTTATCAGAACAGGACAAAGTACGATAATATGACAGCAAGCACTCTAACATAAGTTACTATTAGAAACTAGTCCATGAATATAAACATCCAATAATCCAATGTAAGATAACAACATAGCATGGAAAATGAAAGCAATGAATGTAATGATATATGTGTATACACATACATTACTGTGGTAGAACATGATATAGCGTGAACCCGTATGATACAGTATAGTATGTTACTACTTGGCACAATGTAAGATAAGGCAATGGAGTACAATGTGATGTAGCATAATTACCGTTTGAGCAAACGAGATAAGACATCAAATCACCCAACAATAACATGATACAACATAGGCAACTATAACATAATCGAACATACCCTCTCTTAAAAATATTAAACAGACTAGAAGGTGCCATAATCGAATAATGGAAAACACTATGTATCGCAAATACATTAGCTATAAGAATATGAAACGACATGATATAATGCCATCTGATAACGTTTCATACCGTATAGTAAAGTATATTTAGCGGAATATAGTACAATAAAACCACCAAGCATGATATGATATGCCATGAGATGATAAACAAATCCATAATATGATATTCGCATTGCAAGATATGTAGGATATGCTATAGCATACAAGTTTATGGAGTTGAGTTTTATTCAGACATTCGGAAGTGTGACCTTGGCATTGCCGGCCCGATAGTGATGCCAGAAGTGCCAGCGAGCCAGAGGAGGCCGCAGCGCTTTCGTTAAATACGTTGGCTTCCTGTTGCCTCGCACCTGTGTAGTTTAGTGTTTAAGCTGCAGTTGCTGCAGCTCATTGTTGAAGTCGACATGAACAATCCGTAACTCCGAAGGAAGAAATAAAAACAAGGGAACTGCAGGTTTTGCTGATTTGACCTTGCCTTCCCGGCACGAGCCGCCAGCTCCTGGGCCTCAAATCCACGTTTTCGGTGCTCTTTTTGGGGTGAGGTTGCGCAGGGCAAGAAGCTCGGCAAAGCAAGAAACAGTCCCCACATCTAAGTCTAAGTTGCGGGAAGTGTGGGATTAATTGCAATGGGGACGACTTCCTTCACTCTTTCACCCAGACCGAGGCTACCTTCGGACGGCTGCGCTCCTGGCAGTGCCCTTCGGGAGAACCTTTGATATCCTTTGATTGCCGGTGGATGACATACAGGACAAACACTTAAGGACAAAGAACGACAAAACAATCCCGCAACTGACCACGATGCAAGTTCTAGCGTCTAGAGTGCGGCAAAAAAGCGGACGATTTTATTGGAAAGACTCCGTCCGACAGCCCTTCGCTTGCCCTGTCGCTTGGGTATCCACGAGCCGGTCGTTTCTGTCGTGCCTCGTGTAGAGCAGCTGAGCAGGGGGGTCGCGAACTGCAGTGCAACATGATGAGAAAGCTACATTTGGTGCTTCAGAACTTGTTGAGAAAAGCGTTGCATAGCTGAGGCAACTTCGGAAGCAGCCTTACAAGCACTGACAATACTCTCGTCTCACGGACATGGTCCGAGCACAGTGGAAGAGCTCGCCAGCAAACTCAGCATGCAGGGCCCTCCAACAAATGAGCTTCGGCCAAGAAACGGGACAAGTGTAGAAGTGCCCTGCAGCGATATCTCCAAGGCCTGCCAGAATCTGAGAGGCTGGGCGATTCGGTGGCAAAGTCAAGGACGTCTGCCGACAAAGGCAAACAAAGCTTCCACATCTAAGCGCAACTCACCCTCACACCCGCTTTTGAATCTGCATCCGAGAGAGTCACACTCCCACTCCGGGGAGCCTCCGCTAGGCCGCTGCCAGTGTTCCTGGGAACGAGAAGCTAAAGAGGGATATGGGGGGTTCCGAAAATAAAGGGTCCTTCATATAGCATCCTTAATGGTAGGATCCTTATTTTGACGACCCCAAAATACGATACCCCTTATTTTCGGAAACTCCCATATGGCTTGTCCAGCGCTGAGCATGGAGGGGGCAGGCTCAAGCTTGCCATGCTCAGCTCTACAAAAGCAGCAAAGCATCTGCCCAGGGGTTGAAGGGCAATCACTTGGGAGGATTGAGCACGACGTGAGCCTACGAGAAACTTGTAGGACGAGACAGGAAACGAAAGACCCTTAAAATGCAAAGGGAAGACCCTAAAATAACTGAGACACCCCCAAGCAGGACTGTCAGAGTTCCAACAACTCAGAACCTTTACAGCCTGAACACCAGTACTAGTAAGCCACACAAACCCCTGCAGTCTACCAGTGCCTTCCGGAAGTCAGCGATGTCAGCGTGTCTCCTTCGGAGACCTGGTTGCCATGATCCCCAAAGCCAGAGGCCTAGTCTTGCCTCCTGCATGGAGTTTTGTCTCTAGGGGTTTGATTTGTCGCTCAGGAGCTCTAGGAAGCTAGGGTTTTTGGCTTTGCGGGCTTCGTGTTTGTTCCCTTGATGTTCAGGAAGTTCAGGGCTTTCGGCTTTGGCGCCGGAAGTCGGGCTTATAGGCTGCGCGACGCTGCCCCGGCTGTGTTGGAGCTTTCCTTTCGCGGGCCAGTGTACGACCTGCTAGATACCGGAGCCAAAAGAGGGAATGACCATGAACATCTACATTGGCCTCCTGCGCATCACTGCTTGACGATAACTTTCACATGATAACAACGCCGAAGGTTCGAAACCTAAAGACCCAACATCCAACATTCTGCCCAGCTGCAGGCATGGTGTACGACATATCCTGAGAAGCTGGAAGGTCTTCATGTAGGTTCTAAACGACTATCGGAGCTTGAACTCACGAGCCACGACAATAAGGCCAACAGATGCGAAGCAATGGTCAAGGAACATGTTATACTGGTAAGATGGCACAGGCCTTGCTTCGGGAGGACCATGTTCGGTATAAAGGTGAGGAGCAGCTGGGGAGCAGTTGGTAAGTATACTTTCGGTGATTCGTTCGTAAGGCTTCTTAGTTGCTCGTCAGCAGTTCTTGAAGCCCACTCATTCTCTGAGGATGTCTCTGGTAATCTTGATGAGTGGTTTTGGGTGGGGCGGTGTGGGTTGCCGGGAGCGGTTCGGCAGCTCGGGACAGATGTTGGGACGCGGGAGTATGGGGGGAGGATCGGGAGTTGGGAGAGTTTGGGGAGAGCTTTGCTTTGGGAGGAGAGCTTAGGGAGAGCTTCGGGAGCTTCGGGAGAGCTTCGGGAGAGCTTGGGAAGCGGCCAGGGAGAGGCTGAGGAGAGCTTGGAAAACATACCATAAACAACAATGTTGCACTAACGACAAGGTTCCCTATAATCTCTTCAGCAAGCACTGTGTTCAGGTGCAGAAAACCTATGATCCAATGATCTTACAGGTGTGTGCGCCACTTTCAAAATTACCTGACACTTCCTTGAAAATGGCGCAACCAAGACCCTGTGCCGCCTATTGCTTAAAGCTACACCTGGGAACGGGTCAAGGGAATTCATGCCAGCACGGATAACAAATATGAATCACAGAGCGGGGCCCTGCTATGTCCGGCCCTTCACCTGTCGCCCAGCGTCGCTCTTTGTCATGTCGTTTCCCACGAAAGCTTCGGCTTCGAGGATCCCCTGCAGCTGATAACCAGCAGAAGATTAACGAAGTGGCAAGGACAAGGACACCCAAACGGAATCCGGGCAGCGAAATCTTCCGTGCAAAAACGCCCTTCACAAAACTGGAGCTTTCTCATGCCAAGCCGCAACGTTCAAGGACCCCCAGCCATGAGAGGGGTTTGCCGGGTGTGTCGGATTGCGAGGAAGGTCGCATGACCCTCCGATCGACCCGACCACTGCCCGGGCCACAAGAAGGCCATTCCCAGTGCTGGGTGGCTCTATCGATCCAGGATCTACATATATTTTGCACACGATATACGTACTATATAGAATACACTATCTTTTTTGCATCAGGACTTGTGCAATCGCCTGTGTATTCTACTTTGTAGAACATACAATATACCAAATACGGTATGAGATTTCTACATTACATATTATGTATTTTACTTCTTGCAGAAGCTTGCTCCACCTCCGTCCCAGCCCAAGAGCCTTCAGGGACTTCCCCTCGCCGGTGCTGTGATCCTTGGCAGCTCTACAGGAAACGGATGTTAAATGCTCACAAGCCATGGGTGCCACAAGCACATGACCACAGGTGACACCTGCAGCTGGCATGCCGCTGTTCGCATGAGTATCTCATTGTATCCACATGGAGTCATTCCAAAACAAGTCTCAGCCCTAGAACTTACATTCTGCCACCAGCCAATGAGGATGCTAGTTTAGCTCTCAGAGATCGTTCGGCGGACAGGGTCAAGCATGTGCAGCCAAGCGGCTAAAATTCGAAATTCCGTAGAGTGTAAGGTTCCTCGCCGGTTCCGAGCTCGAGACGTCTTGCTTTTCAAGGTTGACCTAGATATCCTCTGCGTGCATCATGCAGTTACCTTTTTGATGGTCTCGAAGAGGCCTGGGAACAGTCTCTTCATTCCAAGTATGCACATGGTGCAGGCTGAAGTTGATTGATTTGATGTGTTGCGAAACCTCCGGTGGTTGGAGCCCTCTGTTTCTGCAAGCTAAGCTACCAGCTACCTCGAACCAGACGACTTGAAGGGTACAGTAGCATCTAGGTACGCTTCGAAAGTTCTCGGCTTTCTCCACGGTTCACCTGAACCAGAACCTGTTCTACAAGCTTCCGGTCCTGCTGGCGACTGGAGTGTCAGGTTCTCATCTTCCTCCAGAAGCCAAGAGACGAGGAACACGCGTGCAGAGTCTGATTCCAAGTGGCACGTCCCATTCTCCACGTGCTTACTGCGACACTGCGACAGTGTCTCCTTCAGCGGCCGCCGCGGCCGCTGCGGCCCCGGCCTCGATGATCTTCCCGCCGTCCCAGGAGGACGCGAGCGAGTCGAGGCCAGAGGAAGCATCGAGCCTGGCCGCAAGAGGCCCCCCCTGGCGCCAGGCCAGGGCCCTAGCCGCAAAAACGCGGGCCTTGCAGTGGCCTCCCCCCCGAGCTGCTTCACGGCCGGGTGGGCCAGCAATTCCTAGCGAGGGCTTTGGCACTTTCACGTGGCATCTTCATTCACGGCTCTGAAGAGAACATCGACAGGCGCAGTACACGAGAAGCACGGTCTTCGACAAGATGCCCCTTCCAGCCCCTTCCGAAGCCCGAAGCATAAAATCAGGGGTATGGGGTGCCTTTCCTTTTTGGCTGTCCTTTTATACGATAAGCTAGGCGAGCTAGGCTGCTAGGACTCATTTCTTCCCAGGTATTCGCAGTGGCCTCGCCTTGGCCGAGGGCCGCTTGTTCTGGTCCTTTTGCAGGGCCAAGGCGACCACCGCCTTCACCTCTCGCGCGTTAGCTAGCGGCTAGCGTGGGGGGCCCGGAGCGACGACCCCAGAAAGCCCCGAGTCGGCGCGACGAGGCCTCCTCACTGCAGCGGTCGGGCAGGGGAGCCGGATCCTGAATTGGACGCAAGGTGCTTTCAAGGAGGTTCTGCTTTGCGCTCAAGACTTCGCAGCACGCGAGCAAGTGCGAGAGGCTTTGATGAAAGCGAGGGGTTCAGGTTCGGGCAGGGACCCGAACAGCATAGCCCGTGCCCTCCTTCCTCAACTTTCTCCCGGCTCCGGTAGCCAGAGCTGGAGCTACGACAGTTCTATGGTAACAACTGGGCCTTCCCAACCCCCGCTGCAGATTGAGGATTTTTAGGCAAGAGTCCGCGCTGATGATCTTCATGAGCGTGGCCGCCATGTTGCTCGCTTGAAATGGATGCCTGGACCACATGATGCCGAACCAGTTCGGTATTGCTGTCAGATACAGCCGCTGAACAAGCCCCGTTGCGTCGAGAGCACCCAGGAGTTCAGGACCCTGGCCCTACTCGACAGTATAGGACCCAGCTAAAAAGGGAAGCTCCCCCACTGAGCGAGGCGCTTCAGCGCGAGGATTTCATAGAGGACGGCTCCCAGAGACCAGACGTCTATGCGGCTTCCTGCAACATGTCACTGAGTGAGCGCCTGGGGCAAAATGGGGCAAGTTCAGGGTTGGGGTCCCTCTGCACTCGCTGGGCGAGCGTTGAAACGTCGTCAACTTCTTAGGTCTTAGGCTGCACATCACTGTTTTGTTAACGCATGCCAGGGAGTCCGTACTTCGCGCCATTGCAAATTTCCGGTGCCTGGGATCGCACAGCCCGCTGTGTGCTACCACAGAGTGTGCCCAAAATGCAGCATACTGCTTCAGGGGTTGGGATGAATATGAAGACTCCGGACTCAGATTCCCAATTTTCGTCAATCTGGTAAGAAGGGATGCGCCCCATCTTCGTCGCATGCCTCCATGAAGCAGTACACGAGCCCTTCGATTTCAAACCGTTGGACTAATGAGCAAGCTTGCCGGAAACTGGAAACTAAATACCATCTCGCCCGCTCATGACCCAGGGGTATTGGGAATCGATGGACTGGCTGGATATGACTCCAAGGAAGCACCTGAATCGGCGGCCTCTGCTGCGCCAAACCATCAAACTCACAAACCGTCATCGGTCAGCCAGGAGGCCAAGTACGCCGGTGTTCCCACCACAGTGCCTGCAACCATGGTCTCGTCCATCACCTTCGAGATGCCTGGGCTTTGAACCCTGCAACATCTCGTAATCCTCTCCGAAGCGAGTTCTCAACAGCTTTGTGGACCGTCGACTATTGAAGTAAAGATCTGCAAAGCAGTACAAGGGAAGGGAGCTCTCCCGACCTTACCCTGAACTGAGACAAACCAAATGCAGCTGCCGAGGCCGAAATCGCCAAGCTTGGCATCACCAGACTTCATCAAGAAGATGTTCTGCGTCCTTTGAATTTGCCACGGCACGACATGTTCAGGCATTCTTGCATGTTCCGGGCTTTCGCTGCGATGACTGCTTTCAGATGAGGGGGATTCTTTCTAGCTGCGGTTCCTAGCATCGCACGACCCTCCACTTGCGAGCCGGGAGCTTGATGTCGCGATGAAGAATCTTCTTCCTGAATCAGCTTCTCAGAAAAACAAAGCCACAGGCTCGGACATGCCGGGCACATCTCCTTACCCAGAAGTGGTTCTACCATCTATGACGAAGCGTGCTTCAGCAAGAAGACAGAAACGAAGCCAACAGACTCCAACCACCTGAGCTTTCTACGAAAGCAACCAAGGCTCTTGTGGATATACGCTAGGGCGCTCAGGCATTGTCGAAACCTCTGCTCTCGTCTCTGAAGGATTGAGCGATTCTTGCGGTTCTCGACCAGGTACATTTCACGATGTTCCCCTGATAGCCCCTTCACCCCGAGTTGGCCGGCTTAACGCTTAGGGCGTAGTAGAAGGCCGAGATATCCGACTGTAGAAGACCGAGATTTTCGAGTTGTTCCGCCCCGGGAAGAGTCAGTCCTGTCTCTCTTGGGAATGGGCTGATAGTTAGGTTCTGTCCAGCGTGGGCTTAAGGCTTGGCTTAAAGCTCAGGCATCATTCGAACGACCAGTAGTTTAACAATCGAGAACACATGACCTGCATGCTCCTTTGAACCGACAGGTCCGACAAATTCAACAACGTGGCTGCAAGCGACTCCCGTGCATTGCGGGTGTGCAGAAGAAGCGGGTGCCGAAAACTGGGCCGCGCTGCTTCTAGCACCAGCACCATAGCTCAAGACCCAGCGGCACTAGTCACTGTAAACCAACTTTCCCAACTGTTGTTGAACGTGCCGCGCGCCTTGAAGCCCCAGTCCCCTGAGTTACCGACAGTGTCATTGCCTCGTCCTCGCTAAAGTATTCCTCGTCCTTCTGCCGCCTGGCACTTGGAATTCTGTCCCAGTCCCAACTCGGTGCTCTGGCATCGGTCCTGAGCACTACGCAATGCTGCGTGCCTCTGCACCTCTGTGTAGAGATCACCTGGTAACGGACCAAGGTGTCTTTGCGAGGCTTCAAGATGAGCATGGGTTTTGCAGATGCAGGGCAAGCCAGGGTTCCAATCCATATGTTCCTACACCTGGCAATTTGTGCAAAGCCTTCAAAGCTGTGTCCTCATGCCTTGTGCAGCGCACATGTTTCGGCTTCGGCTGACGTGCCCCTTTCCGGTATCTCTTGTGAGACTGCCCGGGTCTATTGCGATTGCTCGATCAGGCTTTGGTGGCCGAACATGGCCAGTGCGCGCCGGCAGACTCAGGACTTCTAATTACTACTGGCTGTTTTTCGCTGTCACATCGAATCCTCTGCAATTCGTTCAACTATGGCTCTTCTGCCCGGCACTTCGGCGGGAACCCGCCCTCTGCAAGAGTGGAGTAGATAGGAGGCTCAGGCAACATGGGCGCTTCCGTCGGCGGATGGTGTGGGTTTCATGCCGCAGGAGAGGTCGGACCAAACGTTACCGGTGGGTCGGGCATGAATGCTCTGGGCGGTGCGGCACACACGGATCTACATGTTGAAACTGCCCTAACGCCCTCAGCTGTAAGCATGCTGAATGCAAGGAATAATTACACAGATTTGACACACACATGTATAGTGACTCATCGGCATGACATGGGAGAGCCTGACCAGCAAGATCGAGCAAAGCCTTCTCCAAGTCAGCTATTTTTTTCCCACCCGCCCAGCTGACAAGTCGCACCGCAGGGATGACTTTAGAGTTCGGAATGCGGGGTGAGGCGTGCTTACTGCAAGATGTCTGGCGTGTGAGACCCCTTCTTCGGCGACAGTTGCTCGGGATTCTAGCTTTCGGCCTACACTCTGAGCAAAGGGAGCAGGGTCAGAGGTGGTTTCCGGAGTTGTAGGGCGGAAGGCTTGCCGATTGTCAGTAGGGTCCGGACCACCATCTGCATACTCGAGCACGATGTGCAGCTTGTCGGCCTGATACAGCGTGTCGGGAATTAGCAGATGACATTTGCGGAGTCGTGCTGTCGGGAAGGACAAGCACATCATATCAACTGCCATCACACAAGCGGAGATATGTCAGCGGCTAAGCCACCCTTCATAACTTCTACACCCTGCAGTGCCTCGATAAACGTGTCAAAGTAGGCGATGATGTGTGGATGAAACAGGCGGTGCCTCTCATATCAGAGCAGCGAAATTGAGAGCCCACCTCCAAGAATTCTCCAGCAACGGCTGAGGTCCGGACAAAAGGCTCACTTCGTCCTCTGCGCTCTTCCTGGCCAGGGCGGACATGCCACCGAGGTCCACGGTCTTCACCTGGGCTTTTGGGACGAGCTGGACTTGAATCTGGCGCCGCCGTGCGACTTTATCCCTTGTCTGTTCAAAACCAGGGCAGGCCCATGTTTCCGAAATGTCCCAGGAAGCTCTCACCCAAGAACCTATGTGACCAGCGGGGCACCACTCGCAGCACTGAGGTTTCCTTGTGCTTCACCAGCACAGCGACACCTGGGCCGCTTTCGGCATCTCGACAAAACCCTGAGCGGAACCGTGATTCGATCTCCAGCCGAAGGCTGCCCCACACAGCCCAGATCCCAAGACCCGCGCCGTAGGCCCCGCGGCCCAGATCCTTCTCCTTCCTTGGTATGCTTGGAGCTGCATCGGACTTCGAAAGCTGCGCGGAGGGCGATTGAAACTGCCGGATCAGATCACGGGTGCTTCAAAGAAAACAGGATCTGCTTGGCTGGGTGCCAAACGATCTCTGAAAACAGCCCTGAAACCGAAGCCTGTGCCGTTACCAAACAGACAGTCCAGGGCTTGTGCGCAAGAGACAGCAGGATCAGGCTTCTCGAACACCTGTTGTGACGCTCTTAGTTTGTTAACAAACCCCGACAATTTGCTGAAACTCCGGAGAGGACGAAAGGGCACATCTGCCATCCAGGCGTCACGAAGTCCGCCATGCTCAGCGTTGTGTTGTTCATCTCCATGCTGGGTGCCACCTTGAACGCATTTGGCTCAGTGTATGCACAACTACGGAATGCACTTTCATTTTCCCAGTTGCTGTTCGTGAGTGAGCCTGGTGCAGTCATGAAAGAGTTCCCGTCGTCGTTCCGAGAACAACAGTTAAGTATGGATGTTACGAATGTTCGTCACGTTGCTGGCAAGGCACACGCCGAAACACCCAAACACAACTGGAAACTTCAGCTTCACCCAACACCTGAACCGCGCGGATGAGCGCATTTGGTGACGAACCCCAACATAATCTTGCAGATAAGGGACGGCTGACTTCACCTCAGCTCCAAGTCGCATTGCAAAGCCGGGACGGGGTGTCCAAGCACCGATCAGGCTCGGCTTGGCAAGGCTTGCGGAGGGCGAGTAGACTTCAAGCGGCTAGATTCGATGGAGGATGGCCAACAGCTCTCTCAGCATGAAAACGCTAGCTACCTTTACACGGCTTCGATGTGCAGCGACTCTTGGAACAACAAGCACCGTGCCCAACAGACGCCTCTCTGCCTTTCTAGTTGGGTTCAGCACCTCAAGAAGACCCTGAAGGCTTCGTAGGATGTGGGCTCAGGCTTAGGGTTTAGCAGCTCAGCCCTGCAGCGAAGGTGCCGGCTGAAGCTGCATCAACTCTTCTGCGGTGGCTCGATCCTGCGGCGACGAAAGAGAGCTGCGGACAGGCCCTCAAAATGCATGGCAAGCTGCACTGGCCTATCAGTACATTATATTGCGTGTCAAAGTCTCCCTGCTAGGCAAAAGCCAGGTGTCCACCCCATCATCCGGTTGGATGATCATCGGTAGGCAAGCCGTGCATGAGATGAGATCTCCCCGTGGCAATCAGAGCTACTAGCCCTGCAAACACCGACAGCTCGGATTTAACCTCACACGCGAACACCTGAAAGATCTTCACACGCGAACTCTACCGAGTCCTCCGGGTTCTTGTTCAGCGCTCGGCGAACAACCTCGCGGCAGCCGTGGCAGCTGCAAAGCAGACATCAGAGGCGGAGGGCCCGCGAGGAAGCGGCGCGCAAGTCACGGGCAATGCTGCAGAGCTCACAGTCGGACACTTTCGGGCAGCAAACCCAGGCTGGGCGCTTCGATTGCAGACACACCACTGCTCTCTGTCTTCAGGGGCAAGTGCGGCAAGAACAGAAAGATCAAAGCAAAGGGAGCCAAGACACATCGCGAACTTCTGCCCGGCAAGAGTCTGGAAGCGGGGCCGGCTCGGCATTCACGATCTTCATGATCCTGTTGTGCAAAAACGCATCCTCATCACAATCCACGGTTGACAATTCGCTCAACTCCAAATTGCCGGAGCGGCAGTGCCGCGACGTTCGAGGCCGTGAACGGCTGCACAAGCGCGAGCATCTCGTAGAGTACCACGCCCATGGACCACACCTTGGCCAGTCCCCAGTAAACATTGGCTGTAGCTACATCCTCTCTGCCCTCCCCTCTCCCCTCTTCTCTCCCCTCCTTCCCTCCCTCCCCAGTCCCTCCCCCCTGCCCGCCGAAACAGCTTCGACAGTGTCTCATGCACACGGTTCGTGCATCCGAGAAAGCCCCTGATCTGAAGTCTAGATGCTTTAGCTCCAGCTGTCCACACTGCCTGTAAGCTGTATTTCCACCTTCCACCTCGATGAAGCCTGCCACAAGACGCACCTCTTCCAATGCTGACCGGGCACATCGATCTTGGGCCCATACGGCTTGTCCTGGCCAGGGGAAACTGGAAGTATCTGGAGCTCGGATGCGCTCCGGCTCCGGGGTCCCATGCCGCCTTTTGCCTGAGGTCCTCCAATCACTCAGCACAATCGCAGCATTCTACGCATGTGAAGTTGGGGTCGCGATCGGAACAGGAGAGCCCGACTTTTTTTGCTGTTACGTGGGACCCTGAAAGTTCCAGGAGCCCTGGTCGTGGGGTTTGGATCCATGTCGCACACCGGAACACGCCAAATGCAAACCCCTTCCAGCTGGCAAAAGGGCCTCACAGATCTCCGGTGCAAAGTAGGATGGCCTTGGCACTTCCCGGGCAAAACTCCTCGTGCATGTATCCCACAAGCTGCAACCTCCTAAAAACGTGAGAATCTGAACTCAAAGCGAGAAACTCCCATGAGCAGACCTGGCGAAGACTTGAGCTCCCTCAACTCGATTCTCAAATAGCCGTGAACCCTAAATACACTAAAACCATGCAACCCAACACCATGAAAAACCGGGATCCGCAAGCTGGGGCCCGGGACGTGCCAACCACGGTGCCCTGGGCCGCCGTGGTCGTCTCGATGACTTTCGAAACTCAGAAGGGTTGGGAGATCGCCCGGGGTTTCGGTTCAGGGTGCGGGTTGAGGGTTTGGGCCTTGATGGGTTCGGGCTCGGTCGTCTGCTGGGTTGAGACTTTTGTTGAGGGTTCAGGGTTTCAGCTGCCAGCTACCGTCGGCAGGTTGGCTTTGGGACCCAGGCGCGAGGTGCACACGTCTCACTGCTTCAAGGCTGTGCTGAGTTGGGGCTTCAACGCTCGATGCGGTCTTGTGCGGCTTCGAGACTTTATTCGCGCTGGATTTTTTTGGCTCCCGCGTGGCAGCATCCGAGGCACTACAGGCAGGATTGCTTTGTGATGGTGCGTTCCCGCCTTACACCCCCCTAAGTCCTGTGTGAAGAGTTCTTGCCAAGCTGCTGCCAAAATCGCCTGCCACAATGTGCAAGCTTTGGTGCCACCCACGGCCAGAAACAGCGAGACATCGCATGCGGATGAAGGAGAAACTCCGAATCTCTGCGGGGGGCCCAGCCTATCTTTGCCTCGCCAGCGGCCATCATAAAGATGTTCTGCGACTTGATATCGCCTGGGCACATGGCATGACACAAACAAGCCACACACACACACACACTCTCATGAGCCCAGGGGAAGCAACTCCATCTGGCCGACGAGATACCTCCAGAAAAGCCAGCAGAATTTAGGTGCTGCGGCAGTGCCGCGTGGAACATCCTAAACCCGCATCCGCCCCTCCAAGCATCCCAACAACTCACAACGCACAACCCCCAAACCCTACTTGCTGTTCCAGGCCGCGGTGAAGGATCCGCTTGGAGTGGATGAACTGGAGCCTGGGCCGTGAAGCTTCCGGCCGAACACTTTGAAATCTAAGAAACATCATATAGTCATCTAAGACCTGTAGCGGAACAAGGGAAGACGTGCCCCACATGATCATGTGGTCTGGCATGGCTGGGTACTCAAGCTTGGGCCGCATGCGGAAACACCCCAGCTTCAGCATGCACGCACTATGCTGGATCTGCGGGAGCATTCATTGAGGGCATCTGTCATTTCCTGCCCCAGTTCGCTCTGCTCCGCCGAAGAGTCCGAGTCCCAACAGCTCCCATCTCTACATCGTCCCTCCCTTTCCAAACTTTCGTCCCGGTGCCCTTGCCGTGCAGCCAGAGGACGCCGACAGGCACTGTGCGAAGATGGTCATGGCCTCGTCCTCCGAAAACGTTTCCTCGTCGTCCTGCGGCTCCGAAATATTTCTACGGGTCTCAGAGGAAGTCACCGAAACGCTCAACTTCCTCGGTCCTTCTTCTGCCTGATCAAGCTTGCCAAGTCCCCTCCGTCCGCATACTCCATGACTATGTAAAGGGTGGAGCTTCGCATGAACGTATCCTGGAAGCATCACAGCCATCCCATCATAGTCATGCCAGCTCTCCGGCTCAGTCCGACACAAATGGGTTCCAAGCACAGACACAACCCGATTTTTTTGAACCCATGAAACCCCGAAGCTCGGAGACTTTTTGACAGCCAAGCATCGAAGTAGGCGATGATGTGCCTGTGAGTCCTCAAGCGGCTTCAGAGGTTTGGGACCACCTCGACGACCACACTAGACACCACCAGCCCTGAACATCATGTCTCGGCGATTTAAAAGGATAAGGCCTCTGCAACTCTCAGCACTGGAATCTACAATCTGGACTACGCAGTTGCCCATTTAGGTCTCACCCACCGATGCGGAAAACATCTTCTCCTGGCTACCAGCACCATCGAAACCATACCATCTTCATTACCATTGTAACTATATCACGATTACCATCAATGCCGCCACCACTGGGCGATCGCTAAAAGTTATCGTCATTGTCATCACTGGCGCGACTGTTGTTGTTGTTGTCGTTGCTGGTGCAGCTGTTGTTCCTGTTACTGCTGCTGTGGCTGTCGCTATTCTCCTGCTGTTTGCTGTTGCTGTTGCTGCTGCTGTTGTGGCTGCTGTTGCCGTTGCTACTGCTGCTGTTGTTGCTGTTGTTGCTGGTCGTTGGTCGTTGCCATTCTCGTTGTGGTTGAGGTTGTGGTTATTGTTGTTGTTGTCGTTGTTGTTGTTGTAGCCGCCACGGA